CCCAGTGATTCCCTTCCAAAATAAACACAAATAAGCATTTTTCCTTTGGAATATCTCACTACTGGCAAGTGGGATGAGCAGACTATGTAATATATTATGGTCATTAGGATAATTTCCTTAACAGATTAAAGTAACACATTGTTGGTGAAAATTCAAGCATTGAACTTACACAGTAAAATATATTAATGCATAATAAATTCAATGCTAGAGAAAATTCTTTGACATTATTCAAAGCTCTGATAGTTTGGGGCTAAACTATTAGTAAAAATGGGCCTACCAGAAACTTTGTCTGCTCTATGTAGCATAAAGCTACATGTGGTACCAAGATATACTAATTCCAGTTACACAGGTTAGCTGATCACTTAATAGAGTCAACAATGCAACATGGCTGTTAAAAGGCAAGTCCAATTTGCATCACTTTTAGTTTCCAAATCACATAAAGTAATAATTCCACTGAGTTTTGCACTGGTCAGGTCAGTGTTGCATCCAATTCTGAACATCACAAAGGAAGCTAAGGGGATGAGAAACTAATTCTTACAAGGAGAGGTTGAGGGAACTGGGTATGTTGTCTTATCTTGAGAAAATGTGACTGACAGGTGTATATTTTTCTAATACCTGAGCAGGTATCACACAGAAGAAACCTGTGCCCCACACACTGCAGAACTTTTTCTTTAGCCTGCTTTATTGACTTGCCCTCTACAGTTTTGGAGGGACTACCTCATTTGCAAAGCAAACCTGCCCATTACACGGAGGAACCTGAAACTACCCCATGTATTTCTTAGATGTTCTTTCTATAGTAACTTGCAGCCTACCCTTATATTCTATTTAATCATGGTAGTTCCATTAGTTCTGAAGGCAACTTCATTTGCTTCTAACTGTTCAACAGTAACCCTAACATCTCTAGGACAGTTGCAAAATTTATTTTAGCTTCCATTGTTTACACATAAAACTACCCCTTTCACTTTTAGGAGCCTACTAGTATACAATTCAATTTAAAAAAACTATCATATTTCTTTATGTTTTTCGTCTTATGTTATATTTCACCAGTCACTGACCCTAACAGCCAATTTAGGAAAATGTTCTGACAGTGGATAAGCTTAAGTGAAGTATTCAGGCTGATTGTCTGGAATGTTTTTATTTGGATTCTTGTACCAAGGAGGGAGTTGGAGTTGGGGGACTTGATGGTTCCTTCCAATCCTATAATTCTAGGATATGTTTTTTTTTTAATTCTTCAGTTGCTACATGAGTATCAACAACTTTGGAATTTGTCATAGAGCCGAAATTAAATAATCTCTTCTCCCATCCTTTTCTAGAATGGGAAACCGAATCCATGTGCATCCCAACGGATCTTTAGCTATTGAGTCAGTCACAGAAAAGGATGCGGGTGATTATATTTGTGTGGCAAGAAACAGAATGGGAGATGCTTTGATCCTTTTGAAAGTCAGTGTGACAATGAAGCCTGCAAAAATTGATCAAAAACAGTATTTTAAGAAACTGGTACCTTATGGAAAAGACTTCAAAGTGGATTGTAAAGCTTCTGGATCTCCTGAGCCAGAAATATCTTGGAGTTTGCCAGATGGCACAACAATCAATAATGTAATGCAAGCAGATGACAGCGGAAGTGGGTTTAAGAGATATACTCTGTTTGACAATGGGACTCTGTATTTCAATAAGGTTGGAATGACGGAAGAAGGGGATTACACTTGCCATGCTCAAAATACACTTGGAAAAGATGAGATGAAAGTGCACATAAGAGTGGTCGCAGCTGCACCTCGTATCAAGCAGAATTTGAAGATCTATGCAAAGATAAAAGCAGGAGATGCTGCACTCTTTGACTGTGATGCTGTAGGGGAACCTAAGCCAAAAATATTTTGGCTGTTGCCTTCCAACGATATGATTTTAGCTTCAACTCAGAGGTATTTTCTCCATGTTAATGGGTCATTGTCAATCACTAAAGTAAGGCTTTTAGATGCTGGAGAATATATATGTGTTGCACGCAACTCTGGTGGAGATGATACCAAGGTTTATAAACTAGATGTTGTCTCTAAACCACCTCTGATCAATGGCTTGTATTCAAATAAGACTGTCATTAAAACAACAGCTGTAAAACACTCAAAAAAACAAATAGATTGTAGGGCTGAAGGAGACCCTGTACCCCAGATCATGTGGATCATGCCTGATAATATTTTCCTAACAGCCCCATACTATGGCAGTAGGATAACAGTACATAGAAATGGGACTCTTGAAATTCGCAATGTAAGATCTTCAGATACAGCAGAGTTTATTTGTATAGCACGCAATGATGGGGGAGAAAGCATGCTGGTAGTCCGTTTGGAGGTGCTAGAGATCCTAAGGCGCCCAGCATTCAGGAACCCGTTTAATGAGAAAGTCATAGCAAAACCTGGAAAAACCATTTTCTTGAATTGTTCTGTTGATGGAAACCCACGTCCTGAGATAATTTGGATATTACCAAATGGCACACGGCTCTACAGTGGTATTAAAACACTCCGGTATTACCTGGGAAGCAATGGGACCCTTGCCATCAATAGACTTTCTAAAGCAGATACAGGAAAATACCGATGTGCAGCTAAAAATCAAGTAGGCTACATTGAAAAGTTGATCATATTGGAAATTGGTCAAACACCCACAATTTTTATCCACTCAGGAGGGACAATAAAAAGTCTTAGTGGGGAATCTTTATCTCTTCACTGTCTAGCTGCTGGAAGTCCCAAGCCAAACATTATATGGACACTTCCTAGTGGCTTTGTCCTAGACCGGCCTCAAATCAATAGGAAATATACATTACTGGAAAATGGTACCTTGCTTATCAGAGAAACAACCATTCACGATAGAGGAAGTTATGTATGCAAAGCTCAGAACAATATTGGTGATTCAACAGTAGTTGTTTTTGTAATGGTTGTGGGACATTCACCAAGGATTACAAACCGACCACCAAGGAGTATTCACACTGTGGCTGGGTTAACAATTCACCTTCACTGTATGGCATTTGGGATACCAAATCCAGAAATTACATGGGAGCTGCCTAACCATTCATTATTTTTCACAAACAGAGGTCAACTATCTGGAACTGAACTTCTTCATCAACAAGGAACATTAATAATTCACAATCCAAATTCATCAGATTCAGGTATATATAAATGTGTGGCTAAGAATCAGTTTGGCAGGGATTTCACAGTGACATATGTTCAAGTTATTTCAAATGGGAATAAAGTCTAAGCTGGACCACTTGGCTTTCAAAGATATTTAATCAAAACCAGTCAAAAGGCATTTCAATTTTGGTACTATTACAATTCTCACTTTACAGTTGACAAACTAAGAGACATAGGATTTGGGAAGAATCTGCATTATGACCTAGCATTGATTTTAAGACAATATTAAAAAGTAACCTTAAAAACTTAAGGCACTTAAGTTTCCAACAAAAGTAACAGTGAATATGACAATAAATTCTCTGAATTTGCAATACAAAATATTTAGCATAAGAATGGATTTTTTAAAATGCTAGTTTTTATTTCCCATTTGATAGTATAAACATTGTAAAGCTATAGAAAAAATATGATTGCTGGTTTGATCCATTATTGATGTGAATTAACATTTTCTAATTCTTGATAGTTTCAAATATTTAAAAACAAAAGATGTGGATTTGTTTATACTACTACAAAGTTCTTTCCTGCAGTCCTTTTGGGGGGCAGTGGAAGAACAAATAGAAAATAATTATTTTGATTTTTTTTAAATACAGCTTGCATTATTTTTCTACAATGAAGTGCCATCAAAACTTGCACGTGAAAAAGTGAAGATGTAAATAATGAGTATACTGCCAATTATTTTACATGAAGAAATAATAATTTGACATGTCATTTGGTTTTAAAGTATGCTGTGTATTACCAGTATACTTTACTGAAAGGCAAGAAACAGTGTGCAGATGAAATTAAAATGATCCAGAGAGCTCTTCAAAGTAACATAAACAGTATGTCCAAGAATATACTCCTAGTACTTTATGTATTATGTAGTAAATATATGTATATTGTTCTTCAATTCTATTCCCAGGGCAGATTTTAAAAATATTCAAGAAAGAATATAATTACTAATAGGGAAAAGTTCGTTGAGGAAGTGAAAGTAGCAAGAACATTGGGGGAAAGTTACCATGTAATGCTGGAGATGCTGATTTTAGAGAAAACTAAACCTGAATACAATAAACATGTATATTGGACTTCAAATAAAACAGATTTTAATAAACTTAGCAATTATGAAAAAGATTCTGTGTTAGGGAAAAGCTGATGGGAAAAGAAGCTCAAAAATAGTAGGATTTTGTTTAAAATGGGGGTACTAAAAGAACAATTGCAAATAATTCCAATGAGAAACAAATGGAAAACAGCAAAAGAAACCAATGTGGCTACATAAAATGTTGAGGGAAATCCTGAAAACAAACAAAAAAGTGAAAATAGAACACTATTTCCATAGAAGAGCACATACTATTTGTCTGGAACAAAAAAATGATGTGGGAACTGTAAGAACAGGATTAGCAGAAAGAGCAGGATTGAAGCCTGAAAATGAGAAAAACATGATCAGGGAATACTACCTTACTTTGAATAAGTTCAAATCTCCAGAACCAGATGAGTTGTATCCTTGGGTACTAAAGAAACTAGTTAATTGTCTGATCAAATCAAATCGCATTTTCTGAAGAACTGATGAAGTAACATATAATTGGACAAATCATGTCCCTATCTTTAAAAGAGAAAATAAAATATCCAGCAAATTACCTGACAGTTTGTCAGGATTAATAAAGGCAGGTAAATCTCAGCTTTTCAGACACTTAACCTCTTATACAGACTTTAACATGTGATAGGTCCTATCCCACTAGTCAGAGTTTATGAATGGTGACAAATTTGTCAAGAAGAAACATGGGCTTTAACAATTGCTGTAATGTGAAGTGACCAAGTCACAGAGAAGGAGATGGGTGATTTCAAATATTCCAGAATGCCCTGATGGTTAGCTATTCTGGCAGAGCCATAACTCTTATTTCCTCAAGGAAGGAGGAGCATACAGCCAGTTGTTGTGTGTCAAGGTTACCCTCATTCACAGGAAGAAGAGATGGAGAAGATAAAGCAGTGGCCTAAAGGTGATCTATCCAAATTGCACATATGGGATGTGTTTTTTCTGAGTATGGATTTAATCAGTTTGGGAAGCCTCCCTCCCAAATTTCACAAGGTGGGGCAGGTGTTGGAAAAGGAGGGACAAGTTTTCTGGGTGAAGAATGGAGATTACAGGATCAAAAGGCAAGATTTTGTGGCTTACTCGATAAAGCATAAATGTGCTCGTTCTGTGTGCTAAGAATGTAAGTTTTGAAAGTGAAAATGAAAGAAAAACAACTATGCTCGTCATCTGGTGTTATATGAGTCTTCCTGGTTCTTTGGGTCAGGGTATTCTGCACCTCTTAGAAGATGGTGCTGATGCTGAAAAGCTTCCATGATGGCCAAAAGTGCTATGTTAAAAACACAATAGATTCTTTTTGACTGGAAAGGAATGTATACTAGAAACATCAACCTTCACAACAAAATGTTCAGTGGGCTTTGGATGATGGTGGATGAACTGAGAAATGAATGCCTGTTTAAGCTGAAGAAAGGCTTGTTGGCCACTTAAAGGGAACCCCTTGCTTGGTAAAATCAGTGGAGCAAAATTAAGAATAAATTCATAGTAAAAATTGACAATTCCCGGAAGACAGTCCGGATCCCTGATTGGGAAGCAGTAATGCCCCAGAAAATGAATTCTATTTAGCTCAATTTATCTGAAATGTTTCTGAGGAAATATGTATCCAAGCCATCTAATACAAGTAGGCCAGTGCCACGTATCTCTAGCTTAGCATAAATTACAGTCATAAAGGTTGATCAGTTGAAGAACTGATCCAACTTGATCAATATGGAGAGTGGGATTCTCAGTAGATCAGCAAAGTATCGATATACTATTAAATATATCTTAAAATCATGAAAAATATTATTCATAATCTTTAAAAAATTGTTGATGTCATCAGGGCGACTTTATGCTCACTCATTGTCAGCCCAAACTACCTCACTGCCTTGAGCTCCTGAATGAAAAGTGTAATATAAATTAACCAGTTTGGAGGCTGAAAGACACTACTGTATATTCAAACTTCCCATAACAAGAATCAAAGGTATTTAAATATTCATGATCCTCTTTCATATTAATCAGATTATATGATCACTTAAATCCAATCTGGTAAAAAGTGCATGTCATCTGCAGCTGTTCCAAGAGTTCAGAAAGGTAGGATCCCTTTTGGTTAGATGGGCCAGGAGCCAACAATCGTAAACTACACTTTTTGGGTTTTTTGCAAAAACATTTGAACTTTTATACGGATCAGATAGGATGACTGTACATTTGACAGTGTGTTTTAATCAATCAGACAGGATAACTCTACATTGTGTGATGGCATTTTGTGGGAATCAGATTGTGCAATCAAAAAATTGAGGATAGGCAGGGACTATGCTCCTCCCTTTCTAAATACATCAGCACAGTGTCCATATTTTGTAGGAAAGTATGAGTGTATTTGTTTCAGGATGATAAGAGATTCTTAAATCCCTGGGAATAAAGTTGATGACGTCCTTATGTCATTTAATATTTGGATTGTATATAGTTCATTTCCAAGCCTATTGGAAAATGTAACAGGGAACATAAATACAATTGCAAGGACTGCTAATGGTAAGTTGTGATTTGTGATGGATCCTGGGTGTTAGTGCTGGCCAGTAGTCTAAATAGGCAAACTAAGGAGATCCTATCTGCACATGCTAGAGGATTCAGTGTAGTTGCCTATGATGTCAGAACTAAGAGTTGCAATTGTACTTCAGGACCAGTCTCAGTGTGCAAACTAAGATGAATTACTGTCTGGGCTCCACTTAATTTCTGGTTGTTCCAGCCTCAGCCCTTGAAAGCTGGGACTCCTTTATTTTCCAGAAAGCCAGATCTACAGTGTATACAGCATCTATATACAAATTACCCTCCCCACCTTCCCCACCAATACAGCACTTTGTCAGTGCTTTGAAAGAGAGGGTGGTCTTTTTAGGGCATCCATTTACAAAGTGGACAGTGTGTCCAAAGTATAGGTAGAGATCTTGTATGCAACATCTCAGCTTTGTTCAGATAGTAGAGCTCTGCTAATTCCCAGCAGCAAGTATGGATTCAACTTCCAAAGTTGCTAGTGCATGGGGAGGAGGGAATAAAAGAGAATAGTTGATGTCAAGCTTCATGCAGGCATAGCTATAAATCTCAGCTAACCTCTTATTCAGGAATTGTCTTATTTGGCAGAAGTCTCGACATGACTTGACAAACTTAGTCTCTTTATTGTAGACAAGAATGGAGCCATATAAGCACAGATTGTCCACTGCAATACCCAAAAATCAAACTCCTCTATAGGCCTATGCTCCAGGGTTTAAATTTTAAGGTTTTTTTCCCTCTTGTCTTTCTGAGATCATGAATACTTGCTATTCACCCGATGGCCTTGGAAGACACCTAATTTGTATTAACGTAATGGATCCTGCTCTGCTTCATTTTTTACATAGTCAGTCTGACACCAATATCTGAGTAAATTTTAGAGCAGATCATAAACAAATTATGATCTGCATCTTGTAAGCATTTTGAAAATGCTCTGTAAGCGTCTTGAAAATAATCTTTTCAATTATAATTACTGTTAGTCAGACAGGAACAAATCTTGTCAGACTTAACATAATTTTTTGGTCAGGGAACTTCCTTAATAAAATATAGAAATTCTGTAGAAATAACTTCAGCAAAACATTTGAAAAATTCCTCTGACATGCTGATTTACAAGCTAATTGAGGGTCAGCAGGATGGCATTAAATACATTGCTGAAAAACTGTATGTGAAGAGTGCTTGTCTATGATTCCCTATCAAACTCAAGTGTGATAGCATGTGTTTTGCCATACTATCTAGCCTCAGTTCTCTACTCATCAATATTTTTATTAATTACTTGGATGAAGAAGTGGAGGAAATGCACATCAAATACACAAATGAAACAATATTGAGAAGGATCATTTAAAACCCAGAAGACAAATAACATTCAAAGTAATCTTGAAAGAAATGGGTTGAAAGTAATAGAAAAAAAACTTTAAAGAAACATATGAAAAATTATTCATTTATGAAATATAAATCAAGTGCATATATATAGGATAGGAGATATATGGCTTGATAATACTACATGTGAAAAACGCACTTGCAAGAATAGTTGATTGTAAACTGAATATGAATCAGCAGTGTGAACTGGATGAAAAAAAGGCAAGTACAATTGTTGATTGCATCAATATAAATAGCATTTCCAAACCACTGGAAGTAATGTTGTACTTGATTTGTAGTTGATCAGACCCTATTCAGGGTACTATGTCCAGCTCTGGGCACCATTCCCTAAGAAGAATTCAGAGAAACTGGACCAGGTTTGAAAAATGGCAGTAAAGATATAGGAGATTAGGAATTAGGTCCCATTAAGAGAGAATTAAGGAACTGGCATGTTTAGCCTTGAGAGGAGAAAATTGGCAACATTTTTCAAACAATGAAAAGGGTTTCACACAGAAGGAGGACAATTGATTAAAATTACAAGAGAGATTGCAACTGTATGTTAGAAAAATCTTCCTAACAGTGTAGTTCAGCAATGGAAGCAATTCCCAAAGAGATGGTAGGTTCACTAAAAGAGTTCAAGCAGAGGATGGACTATCATTTCTAGGAAAAGCTTGGGCAGGAGATTGAACTCAGTGGCCCCAGTTCTATGATTCTACTACTTTGTTTAAATAAATTTTGTATAATTAAATCTATGCTTTTGCAAGGAGAATAAGAGAACTTTGTTGCCTGGTCATCAGATTCAATACTGAACCAAGATCCTTGCTGTCATTAGAATATAGGCCATACATATATCTTATTTTTCTTCTACTTTGGAGGATATAATTCATTTTTGCTGAGTTTGTCTTACATCAGGAGTATATATATATAGAAGAACTCCTAATTTTCCTACTCGTCCAACTCCACATCTATAGTGGTTGCTCCAAGAGTCCAACTTACTTTTTTCCCCCAATGTTAGCTGCTAAAGGACTAGAGTTGCCTACTTTTCATGCCCAGGTAAGAAAAAAGATGAGAATGAACAAACCTTGTTATTTGGCCAAAGTCAACCATTTACTTGAAATTTCCATTAATTTTGTTATACCTAATACCAGTAGAAAATTAGTATTTCAAGGTTCTCTTAAGAAATTTGCATTTTGCTCTTGAAAATCATTTCCTGGTATGAACAAGAACCTCAGGCTGACATTCTCACTGGCATTCTTCTCCTTGAATAAGGTGGTTTAAAATGCCTATTTTTGAATAAATGTCCTATAAACCAAGATTTATTCCACCTGTATGTGTATATAAGGAGAAAAAAAAAAAGATCAGAGTGACTTGCCCTGAACACGTTATCTGATGAAATTATGTAATATAAATCTAAGTATAGATTTATTTAAATCTGTACTATTAAGTACAGAACTCTAACAAGCCCTTCCCAACTTTGCCATAGATCCCAGTTATCTGAGCCTGTTTCATGCAATAACAGGAACTCTGTATTTCCAGTCTCGGAATTGGCAGAGCTGAAATGAAAAGGAAATGCACCATTATAATCACAGTACAAAATTAAAACAGAATATTCAGTATGATGCACAATCTAGAGCAATCATAACTTGTCCCTGCCCTTTGTGGAAGTTCTCAATACCAGTAAATGTATTACTTCAGTCTTTTGCAGGCTGAATGCCTTCCAGATGCATGGACATGAACTCCCAGAATTGCATGCCTACATGGCCACTGCTGATAATTCTGGGAGTTCACACATCTGGAGTATGCTTAGACTGGGAATAGTTGAATTATTTAATGCATCATGTTCTAACTGAAGGTTCACGAAGACTCAAACAGCCATATTTGGCTTCACATATTAAAAAAATTAAGTTATCACTATTTTTTCCTATTTGGCTAGATATTTATCGGGCACTGGTAACAAAAAGGAGGAGGACTTTCATCATCATTCAGTCCAAGAGCTTCCAGACTAGATATTACAGGAAACAGAACATAGGCCTTGGTTTGAAGCATCCAGGCAATTCTCAGTTTCATGTTCACATTCCACAACTAAAAGGCATATGTTTGATTATGATCTTGTTTGGGCTTTGGTAGGATCTATCATGGCAATTGGGCTTGTTTCTGAACACTATTAATTCAGATACACTCTTTAGCAACTTCACCTAATGATATGCCAGGTAATTAAGCCAGGCTCCTCGCAATGGTAACATCTCAGGACTGTCAACCTCCAGCTTAGATGGATTGTCACCAAATGAAAAACGAAATTTAGCAAAACTAAAAGCCCCAAACCCCCACCCCTTAGTGCTGGGATGTGCCATCTTTTGCTTGTTTTTTAATCAGTCATTAACAGTAATTTAGAGCACAGAAATGCGTATTATTCTGCATTTGTTATAATTTCACAATGACAACAAAGAATATAAACCTGAATCAGCAATTTGTTGCAATACCAAATATTTTAAAAATATATTTACAACTGTTAATTATTTCTTAAGAAAACAAAGGATTATAATAGGGAAAATAGCCATGGTTTCATTTCAAAGGTAAATAATGTTATACATTCAAATTACAAGAAATTTCAAACTGTTTTATCACAATGTGCAACCTAAGTGTTTTCACAGTGTACACAGCAATTCACAGAAGTATTTATTATCCTAAATATTCTCATATCCTTTGAGAAGATAGAAATGCATTGGCTTGGTATTGCAATTCAAATTTTATTCTACATCAATGGATTGATTTGCTTAGTAGATATTGTTTCATCCACAGTAATGCTTACTGTAACCCTATCACAAGAAAATTAATAGTTCCTACAGAATACGTGATAAAATAGTCTCAAATATTTTAAATATGCCCTACATGAAACACATTCAAAAATTGTGCATCTAACTCTAAAAATACTCAAAATTCACAAAACAGTTTCTTCTATTTATTCTTTACCCAAATATGAGCAAATATCACTTCCACAAAGTTAAAATAGTTTCTATTTGAGTTATAAATTTGTTGAATAATATAGTTGTGCTTGTGCAGCAAATTTATAAATACAGATGTATTTACATAAATAAAATCAAAGTTTTTTACTTCTGAATACCTATCATACAAAATAAAAAGCTACTATTCCTAAGGCTAGGAAACTAAAGCCTAGTTCTTACAAACAATTGATAAGGTGGTAAATATTGGACCAATTTGAAATAACCAAACCTGGATTCTACAACATCAGTTTCTAGGTGATGATTCATTACGGAATGCACCTCTTCACAAAGCTAACTTTCTAGGCATGCCTCCTCAGCGTATTAATTGACATTATATAGCAGCTTTTTCCCCTCCCCCATTTGAAACATGCTATAATGAGAGCCCTACCTGCAATAAATACCGTCTAGTTCAGTTACTAGTTTTCCATTGGATCAGCACTTAATAAGACATGAACCCCTACCTCTTCCTCTCTTACAAAGAGCCAATGAGATGTGAAAGTATAGGCAAGGGCTCTTATTTATAGATAATTTCTCATATAGAGAAACATGCATATAGATACATACCTTCACACATACACACACATACATACATATGTGTACATGTGCACATATGCATGCATGCATACACGCATATACATTCTCTGGCAGGTTGAGTGCTGGATTACCAGAGAAAGCAGTAACCCTAATATATCTCAATTCTTTTTTCTTTGTATTAGTGGGAATCTTTTGTATTACTATTGACAAGCATATTCCTGAAATTATTTTGGGTCATTCATACACTAAGAAATAGGAAAAGGCCATCTTAATATCTGTTGCATGCTGTGAAAACCCTAGTAGCACATCTCTGATAGAGTTTCTGAAAACAGAGGGGAAAAACCTTAAAGATGCAATGCTTCTTGTCTATCCAAAGGTGCAAGCTGTTGCCCTCTGGAGAAAGGGCATAACTTACATCGCACAAATGTTAGCAGTGAAAGGGTATGGACATTAAGTATCACTGTACCAGGTTATAGCCTGAAATCAGCTGTGACATCTCCAGCACCAGCTAACATCTTTTTCTCTGAGCAAAATGTACAGTGATAATATAGGCTTTGAGATCTCATTTTGATTCTTTGCATATCTCTTGCCATAGATTTTGCACTGAAAAATAAATTTAGCAAGTTTATTATTGTTAAATTATGGCATTGTTATATAACTATACATTTAACCAAAAAATAGCAAAGGGGGAGGGGGGGGACCTTTAAGCATACATGCATGATAAATAATAAACAAACAAACAAATAAATAGAGGTGCCTTTTTAGTCAGCATTTGGTCCAGTGCAGTATTAAGAAGGATTTTTTTTTTAAAAAAAATCTTTTTTTCCCCCAAAAAGAAATTCAGGAGTTTTCATCCTCTTGAAAAAACTCTTAAAGCACCAAATCCATATATTTTGCAGCAACAGTATTAAGTCCCACATAATTCATATATTTGTAATTTGTTATAGGCAAAATAACAACAAAAAAATCACCTAATTCTTACATATTCACATTATTGGCAACACACACACACAAATGGGGGGGGGGGAGTAATTAGTGCAACAAATTCTGCTCTCCTGTTCTTCAGTGCAAACACTTTCTCTTCCTTGCATCTTTCAGATTCAGAAGTGTGAAGGATGACTGTATGGATTCACACCTTGTTGTGGCTGGTTACCTAAGGAGCAAAAACATAAAAATGCTTTTAATGTCACCCAAATTAGAATCCCATGCCAGATGCCAAAATTTACTTCCAGGTAAAAGTAGTGGGGAGAAAGATGGAAAGCCCATTGATTTCAAACAGAAATCAAGTTTATATGCCTAAAATTGTTTCATCTTCCAAAGATAACTGATGATAACTTGTGCACAAGACAAATGTAGATATTCTGAAGTCTAAGGATCAATAGAAGAGAATATATGTAGCTCAGGGTTGAACTGTGGAGTCCTTGGGGTTCTCTGGGCTTGGTTGATCTCTTGCAGATGTTTCATTACCTGGCTAGGTAACATTACCTTCATTACACTGAAGATGTTACCTAGCCAGGTAATGAAACATCTGCAAGAAAACAACCAAGCCCAGAGAACCCCAAGGACTCCACAGTCTAAGGATCATAACATTGGCACACTTAAGACAAACCACACACACATACACACACCCAAACAGGATTTTTAAAAAGGTGTTTTTTTTAAAGAATCTGGACCTTCTGGTTCCACTTACCTCATCAAATCTTCATGCAGCTTGTAATACCTCATAAGACTTTGCCAACTACCAAAGGGACTGCTCCCCAGAGGACCAAGAGTGAGTGTCTGTATTTGAAGCTGGATGGCAGGAATAAGCTGGTGGTACTATTGGCTGTAGTCTACCATGCGGCTCAACACTACCTGCCTGAGCTTCTGAATCTCTCTGTTGGAACCTCATAAGGTGGAGGTTGTTTGGGGAGTGGGTTTTGAACAGATTCAAGACTTCATGGCCCCATGGAAACCATGGCCTTGACCCAGATGATATCTGGTCCAACTCATACAGGAGGTCATATACTGGTTCTTGTCTTAATTTCTCAACAGATGAGGCATGATCTGAAGATGGAGGACCTTTGCCACAGCCAGCTCATTTTCTGGTCAACATATGAATGATTAGCATTCCTGACCTCTGAAAAGATGAAGAACTGATTAGGATAGTCCACCCTGGGTAACTTATAAATTAGATGGTCCTGGGCTTTAAGAGTCATTGGGGATCTTTTCCCCAATTGATTGGTAGGTAGTTCCACTACACAACTTGTTAAGTCCAGATTCATGCCTCCTCCACCTACTTTGTGAACTGATGAATGCCTCCTTGGAGAAGTTTTTGGAAAAATGGTAGGTTATCAGCTTCAAAGGATTCTAGATGTAATGGACCATCTGGATCCTTTCCAGTCAGGATTCAGAGTTGGGCTTGGGACTGAAGCTGCATTGTCACTTTTGTTGTTCACCTTCATTAGGACCTGATTGGAATGTACCCCCTCTAATCCTATGGGATTCAATGCCATTAATCATGGTATCCTTCTGAAACATCCATAAGAGTTGGGGAAACTGATGGTTCCTGAATGGACTAATGGGAAAAGAACAGTCCAGCCTCTGGCTTCTCCATTATGGATGCTGCAGGACTCAACTTTCTCTTCCATGTTATCAAACATCTACATGAAACTACTGGGTGAGATAATCCAACGGAATGAAGTGAAGCTATCATCAACATGGTGATGATACCCAGTTATACACATTGACCTCTGGCCGAGCAGGAGATGCTATGAAGGTCTTTATTCAGTGTTTGGAGGCTTTGAACAACTAGGTAGGACAAAACCAGCTTAATCAGAATTTATTTATTTATTTAAAACATTTATATAGCTGCCACCAACTCTGGGCAGCTCAGAACTAAAAAATAAACATCTATTTACAATAAGTTCTGTTCATGTATAAACAGCCTCCTATGTTGGCTTTTGATGGGTCACACTCCCCCTGAAGGAACAGGTCAGGGACTTGAGGGTTCACTCATGGCTCCTGCTCAAGCAACAGGTGAAACCTATGGCCAGGGAGGAGGGCATTGCCCAGCTTTGCCTGGTATACAACTATGAGTTTTCTTGGACCAAGAAGCCTTGGCACCAGCACCTAACATTCTTATCATCTCATGCTTAGAATGCTCTCTACTTGGGACTACCTTTGAAGGCTGCTTGGAAACAGCAATGGAAACTTGGTTCACAATAATGCTGCTTGTGAATGCTGCTATAATGGTGAAACAACTGCATGACAGGGACTGAATTGATTGCCAATAGGTTTTCAAATCCAAAACACTAGTGTTAACACATAAAGCTCTATATGGCTTGGCTTCCTGTCTACTCTGATCAAATTCTGTCCATCCAGTGTAATCATCCTGGCAGAAGATGCTTTGGATCTCCATCCCACAAAAAGTCAAGGAAGTATGAGCCTGGAAGCAGATCATGTAAGCGGCAGCCCCAGAATTATGGAATAGCTTGACCCTGAGATAGATCAGCTCTCAGCCTGTTGGAGTTCTGCAACATTGTAAAAACACTCTTATTTAAACAGGCATTTAGAATCTGCTGGTGTGTTGGATTTGAATTGGAAAGTCTTTGTTTGTTGGGTTTAGTAATAAGTTGTTTTATTACAGATTTTACTGCTGTAAATTGGCCAGAGCCTTGTGATAGGTCAGTATACAGATCTGTAATAAATATATTAGTTGTTTATATTGTAAGTTAGCTAGTTCTTTCGTAATCCTGAAAGTAGATGAGTAGATATCTATCAATCTTTTTTCATAAATACATGAACATTACTTGGTGGACCAACAATTCATGACAAGTACGATGAAATGTTTAAAATCACTCCTACTGAACAATGGTATGCATGCATGTTGCAACTTTTAAGATGTAGGTTTTATCACTAACATTCCTTTACTTTCAAGCAACTGTCCATAGCCAGATTTATTATTAAACCAGAATAAATTGGCAGTAACTATTTTCCAAATATTCCAAAGCCCAGCTGGAAAGAAATGGAAAAGAGTCTTTATCTAATGTTACATACTTACTTGACAGCTGTTTTTGGAGTTGTCTGACAAGAGCAGCTGTCTGTTGTTGCTGCTGTGTCTGCTGCAAACCTTGTCTTGGGAACTGCAATATTCAACACCAGAAAAAATTAGCCAAGCACTCACAGATATAGTGTATACTGTCTTCCTATTCTCTTCTGAAAGTAATGAGAAAGTGCTCGTTCCCTGGGGCCTTTTTCTACAGTGAATATGAATCCCTAAACAAAGTTTAGATTTAGAATCATCCAATGTTTTTAAGATAACTATAAGTATTTTTAGTAGATATTATAATTTACCCTCTTAAATCAGATGACCAGTTGAACAGAGACAAACCTGTCAATTTGGCTCATTCCCATTCACCATCACTGTTCCCTCCAAGCAGGTACCCAAATCTAAAATAACACAATTTCTCAATATCTCAGTTACACAGGTACAGGATGGTGAACTAAAGACAGGGGGTGGCAGCAGTAGAGAACAAGTGACTGCGGCACAAATAGGCGAAACAAAATAGATGGCCTTTTAAATAAGAGTTGTTCAACAGGTTACTATACTCTTCTGATCATTTTGTTGTAAAAGCAAACTTGCAAGCTAAACTAAAAAGGATGATGTGAGTGTTCTTCCTCTCTTCGGCCTCTCGTTTTTCAAGTTGCTTTTTATTTGGAGGAAATGTAGACACATATGAGAAAAATGGTATTCCATCAACTATGGGTTTGTCTGGGTTTTTTTGGCCATGTCTTAGTTGGGGAAATTAGTGAAAGGAAGACTGAATGGGATATTAAGTAGGGCACAAATTTTTGCTACTCCATTGTTATCAGTGTTTTTTTTTTTTCCAAGAGAAAAAGAATGAGAGAAGGGGATGTGCAGGAAAGAGGAGACTTAATGGAGGTTCAGTATAGATGTTCTTATAACTGAATACTGTATTATTTTTAAAAAGTACAGTCCAGCTAAACAAATATTCCACTACAATAAATTTCAACAAAAGTATTCAACATGATAGATCAGCTGCTTGCAGGATGCAGTCAGACTCCAGCCTACCCTATTTGTGCTCCTCAGCACCTTGAAAATTTTAGAGAATAATTTCTTTCATATCTTTTTTTCAAAGAGGCTTCCTGCTCCCATTCCTTTTAATTTTTATTGCTTTAATGTAAGAAAAAATAAAACTCTAAGAACAAAAGCAAAGAAACAAAAAACAGTAAAAGCATAAAAAGGAAGACACTCAGCCCAGTTTTTAAATACATCATTAAACTGTGACCCTAAGGAATCCTATTGATCAGTTCTTTCCACTCCACTGATAGTTCATGAACAAAAAGTAAGCATGTACTGATGCAAGATTATAATATCGCCTTTCCAACATCAAAGATGCTGCACTCTATGCTTGATAAATGTAGTAATAATTAATAAAATATTAATTTATAAGATATATTAATAATAATATTAATATATTAATAATTCCTATGTTTCGCTATTTAATTAAAATGTACAATCACATCTTTAAGCCATACTGATGTTTGTAATACTATATTAACAAATTTAATATAGTTTATTAAATACAGTTTGTTTATTGCCCCATTTTGATTTAAAACCAAGATCAGGCAATAATGGGATGAGTCGTATCAGATGAATAATTGCCCCCTTACCTATTTTACTGTTCCAACATAATGAGATGACAGATACCTCTTTTAAAACATTATCTGTCATCTTCAATCAAGTAGTTTTTTTAGTACATTAAACTCATCTTAAGGCAATCAGAAACACACTGCATATTCTTTGAAATTCTTAATCATTAATTTGTTAGAATAGGATATTCTTTATGCTAGAATTCTCACAAACAATTGATATTTATCTTAACAATAGTCTTTGATTGTTTATAGAAAGTACCACAGACTAACAACCATCCAAAACATATGCCAACATTGACACTAATTCATCCGTTTTCAATGCTGCTAATGCATGTAAAGCGAACTGTGTAGTCAAGCTATGTTTTAACGAAATACGCTGCCATTTCACAATCTGGGTGGAGTGCATGTAGCCTGCAGGGTGTTAACCCTGTGCTAAATGAGAAACATTCAGTCTGCTTATTGTCTTAGTGACTGTATGAATCAGGCCAACATATTAAGGATTCTGCGAGAATACCAGCACCTGTCAACTATAAGCCAGAACTGCCCTTATACTCAAGACTGAAAATGAACAGGAAATCCTAAAATGCTCGAGCTAACTCATTTTGAACTTGTCCCCATTCACTAAAGCCAAATGCATTTTAAAGAGCAAAGTCAAACTCACAAAATCCTGGAAGAAATGCTGTAAGAATGCTATCCAGGCTGATAGACTCACCTATACACTACTAAAGCTCTCCTGTCTGTAACCTTTAACTGGGTGAAACAGTGCATGGGTGGGCAACAATTTCCCAACAAAGGTACCTTAAATAGGCTAACTTACAGAATGTAAGGACCCATGACTCCTGTGGGGTTGAAATTTGGGGAATTTGTGGCTGCTTCAGCACTGCACTGCAGCAGTCAGCCCAGTTCATGTGATCGTCATGGGTGTATTCCTGACCTCTTTCCCACCTCCCTCTGTCCCCTGCACCCAACTGACTGGTGTCAAGGCCTGATGGGCAAGCAGTGATTGGCTGCTTTGGAACTGAGGCAGAAATTTGAAATCTCTTAATGACAGTTGGTGGTGAGGGAAAGATGAGGCAGTGACTTTGATGCCTGTTGGCAAGGTAGGGCTGGCTGTGGGGTGCCAGTGATCAATGGGTAAGCCCTCTTCCTCCCTCAAGGGAGGGGGCCTTTCGGGACAGAATGTGAAGTGGGGGTGCAGTTTTCCTCCCAGACTGTGGCTCCTTTGGTTCTACCTCCCCCAGCAAAGTGGCAGGCCGAGGAGGAGGAGGAGGGGAAGGAGGGGGATGGGAGGAGGCAACTTCACTGGGCTATCCTGAGGGTTGTGAGGGGAGGGCAAACGGCACAAGCTTATGTTATCTATGGAAATGAAAGGAGGGAGGGAGGGAGGGAAAGAAGGGAGAGGGAGGGAGAGAGGGATTGAGGGAGGGAGGGATAAGGAGAGGGAGAGAGAGAGAGGGAGGGAGGGAAGGAAGGGGGAGGGAGGGAGACTGCCAGCTTCCCACTAGCAAAATCAATGGGGAAGCCAGGAGCAAGTTGCAAGTTGATCACACTCCGACTGCTTTTTTGCCCTCGATCATTCTGTTTCTCTGTTTAAGGTAAGGAAATATCTCTGAAACGATGACCCAACAGGTCATTGGTTGTCTAGTATGATCTAAGGAGGAATTTTGAGTGGACTAGCCAAAATGTGCTGTCAGGGTAGAACAGAAGACACTGTGATAGGAAAAAAGTGTCAAACATTTTGAGATAAGTTATCATGAGTACAAGTCACAATCATTTTCAATTCTGTTCTCTTCTTTTTTAATCTTTATGTTTGATCCCCCACAAGTGATAAAGTACTTTTGATATCCCAAGCTATTCAGCTATGTTTCAATATTTTCTCTTAAATATTAACACCCAATACTTAAATTACTAATTAAAAAAAAATGTAATCTGCTGTGACAAGAGTCAAACTAGAACTTATACAACAGAAAGTTGGTATTATGCACATATATATACATCTAGTGACCATGCTTAGCTGTAAAACCTTAGATATAAATTTATAGAATAATCAAAATGAAGTACAGTATTCAAATAATAGAAGAATTAAGATAAAATAAACATATTATTCAGTCTTTTAGTTTAGATCAAATGCAATAGTGCTATGGCCTCAGAAAAATAACCTGCCCACAGGGGCAAGGCTCCAATTAAAATGACTAGATGAGGCCCCAATTTTGCACTAGCTTGATTTTAATTCCTTGTCTGCAGAAGCAATTTGGTATGCTCGAAACAAAGCAAAATCCACAAAATTTAGTGTATCAAGACACTACGCCAAAATAACAACTAACTGAAAAGTTCTACTTGGTTCTCTTTTATTCCTAGTACAGAGTATGAAATTGTAAAAGAAGAACATTCTTGAAAAAATTGGAGTCTGTTTCATAGTTGAATTATGTATTTTAAAGGCATATTTGAGCATAAAGTTACCTGAAATTGCTAGTTATGGAAATCTGAACTCAATTAGGATTGTCAGGCATTGAAATGAGCCTGGCCAAAAATAAGTGAAATAATATTGTGACTGTTGGCATTCTTTATTCTAGGATGTGAATGATGAATGTTTTGTGTGAAAGAACATGTGGTATCTCATAACTCAATGTGAAATTCAGAAGCATCTAGATACTGAAGAACCTGCACAAATGATCTTTAACATTCAATATATTCAGAAGGTACAACATTTGAACATTCAGAACTTGGGTGGCAAGGGAAGGATTTGGAAGCACACCACTGATCAAGGCTTTCTGCAGTTTTTCTTACAATTGCTAGGAGTGCATTCAGACCACCTGTTTAACATGCTTTCCTCATCTGTGAGGCAGCACACAGTATGCTGGCATATTTTGCTTTGTCTACATAGGTGATCTCTACTGTGCTTCAGTAAGGAGGCCAGAAGTGATTCTCTCCTGTTTTCTGCATAGCACGTTCAGGTGAAACAACTTGTGGATTTCCCTGCTGGTGAGAAAAACATCCATCAATAATTGCCCTTAATATGGACTGTGGCTGGGAGAGGAGCCAAGTTTTAACAGATGGTTAGAGTGATGTTTATCCATCTGTTAGAACCTCTGAAAGTAAGTACTGCTCCAGCAATCTTGGCACAATCTGATTCTCAGCTTTGGGTAGAAAACAACTCCTGGTCTGCCACCTGTTCTGGAAATATTGGGTCTCCATTTCCTCAGTCCAACAACACAAACCAAAATGGCCATGGAAAGATGTCAACAATGATTGGAAAGCACAGAATGTGGCTGCAGCAATAAAAAGCAGCCAATAAGAGCTGGGCAGATTCCAGTCCCTGCCACAGTCACAGCCAAAGTGACTTGCTAAATTGTGCACATAGCAAGGCTTGTGTCGGGGGAAGATGGAACACATTACTTCCACATCGGATCAGAAAAAGCCAAGTTAGCTGTTCTTGGTTATGGTTGGAGACGAGAGGAAGGTATCCTTAAAGCATGGTTAACCAGGCATCTTTGAAACAAAGATGTATGGGTGTGCCTTAGGATTTACACAACAGCAACCAGTCTGTTGTGTCCTTGTGCATCAGGGATCCATCAAGCTACCAGACAACCAAAGGATCTCTCTCCTTAGTCCTCTGAAGAACCTGAACAAAATTAAGGCACTAAAGGACTTGTGAATTTTCAACCATTTACAGTATTTTAAAAGGATATATGGCTCCTTTTAAGGTGCAGTAGGTGAAACATCCTCTACTTCATCATCTCTCCACTAACTCAGTATTGACTGCTGTTACTGTTCTCCATTTCTGCTTTCCTAGTGAGCTAGTGATTTACTTCCCAGAGTTTCATTCAGGATTTTGTTATCTTCACATCCTAGATGGTCTGCTTATCCACTTGCATTCTATTCCACAAGATCATCTCTCTTTGAAACATTAAAGTTTTCATCATGCAACTATCTTCTGAATTTACTTCATTCCAACAAATTAAAACCGGGATTCTGAAGGTGATTTGCTTTTGAAAAGTTCAGAAATGAAATTTCTGGCCATTTATGAACTGTGAAGGCAACATGTTGGACATTTTTCTATTCCATTAGAAATTGTGCAACTATTCCCAGATGCATACTTTGGCAAAACAAAAACAAAAACATGATTTTTACAGCTAAATTACCCAAGAATATTTTATGTTTTTCCTTCTCTTATACAGAAGCATTCATGAAATGCTTCTCATCTGATCCCCTAAATCAATATAATGAAATTTGTTAACACTGTATCTATATTCATTTGTTTAGATATGTGTGTGAGAAATTAAAAAGAAAATGAGCAAGGACATTCTCAGTGAATGGATAGGAGAGGTGGGATGCTGCTACATAAAAGTTGGCTAAAAGAAATGGATCTATTTCTTTAACCTTAGAAATGCCCCCCAAGTACTTGCAGCATGAATTGCTAGGCACTATTCCTTCCTATAACTTTAGCACTTCTTGGAATGACCAGGCAATCACACATGAGCATCTTACCATTGTGCTCTCTGTTTATTCTATAAAGTGCTGAAGTTGTAGGAAAGGTAAGAGCTTTACTCTCAATAACAACAACAGATGGAACATTTGCAAAGTGAAAGACAGACCTCTCTTGACAACCTCTCCTGCATCTCCCCTAAGAATCTTTAAATAAATTAATCTAGTCCCTCTAATAGAGGTAGTACAAATAAGTCTTTTTCACTGGGAGTAGAGGATTTATGAAGCATAGAGGGCAGAGGGCAGCACAGTATTATAACACAGTTCATCAGGAGGCAAATCAAATGCATTTTTATTACAGCTGTAAATTTGATTAAACAGACTAGTAGTGAAATTTTAATTAAAAAAAATTGATTGACACCTAATCCACTAGATGGAGTATTTGTGCAAGTATTAAACAATATACACACACAGTTACAATCATAAAGTTTCAGGTTTGATGAAGAATATCTAATTCCTAAATGTAGGAAGCATTATCTGGGTAAAAGTGCAAACAATAAATACCATATTAGAAAATTTACATAGTGCATAGTATAGCCTATTTTTATATAAGAGAACCAGAAACGGAAATGCAAAGCCACCTCACTCTTATTATTAATGTGAGTGACTTCTTATATTAATTCCACCTTTCTCCAAGAACGTGGAAATGGAGAGCAGTATTGGGACATGCTATCTGAAACCTTCTGAGTTCTCCATATTGTGAAATGGGACAGAGCCCCAGAATATGGTTTATTATAAATATTCTTCTTACGAAAGATTGTTGCTGGGGCTGCATTGCTTGAAGGCTAATAATTTGCTGCTGATTCTGCTGCTGCTGCTGCTGCTGCAACTGAAAAAAAAAAGGAAAATGATTGCAATACTATTTACCATTTTTTTAAAAAAAGGTATAGCCTTTTCAGAGTCAAGCTTGATTCCTACTGAACATGTTAAGGTCATTTTTCTTGTAACAATATGAAAACTGTCTTCTTTTGGGATGTTTTTGCAGCTTCTCAATGTATACAGTTATAGAAAGGCAATAACAGTACCATTCTTTCAAAGGATGAGAAATCTTGTAGATGATGGGCAAATAAACTGTTAGGGGCTAAAGCTGACATTTGAGAGGCCAGATGTTTTTCTTTTGGAAACAACAATTTTCTCTTCCCTCCCCCCACTTGTTTTCTCTCTCATTCTTTCCTCTTCCTCCCTGCCTGGTAGAGAGACAGATGAGACTTGCCAGAGGGTTGAACTGATCATTTACAGAAGACTTTTGAAATTAGACTGAGAACCATATGCCGCAGGTTACCACCCCTACTTTGAGAACACATAGTAATATTCTGCTCTAGGAAACATTGCTTTTTATGAGTCGTATTCACAAACTGTGATTTTGCATTTAGAATTCTTTCAACAATTGCCTTTGTGGTGCTTAATAAATTTCTCCCAAAGTGATCAGGGTTTAATCCTCCTTTCACCAGTCTTTGTCCAGTGGTTCTAATTAAATCCACTATACAATTCCACAATCTTCAGTTGTTAACCTTGTAGTACTAATAAAGACCCTTCTGAGGATGGGGAAAGGAAAACATTGGAAACTTATGTAAACACACATATAGGAAGAGCTATATAGTTCAGTGAAGCAGTTCATGGGCTTTGCATAAATTGCAGAAGGAGAATTATATTAGCTTATGATAGCAAAAAATCAGGAGTTTGGTAGTAAGTGTTTGTGAGTTGTAGCCCACTTCATCAGATGCATAGAGTGACTAGACTGATGTAGGATTTAAATTGGGGTGAGGGAGGAAAAAACAGCTGGTTATGAAGATGCAGGTTACATGTAAGTCAGATTACCAGGACCTTATCAATGAATAACTGTAATGAGTTAGAAACCTATTATGTTTGTTGAGATCTTTAGAGATTGTCTGAAAATTTTGGATGTATGTGAATTTACCAATCTCTCCCTCAGTGGTAATGTTAAACTTTCATTTTTCCAAGATAGTCTTTTTGAGGCCTGCATAGAATGTCCCGGGAATGCTTTGATATTAGTATTGTCAACCCTACAAAGTAGATTAGATCAAGAAACTGACTCCACAGAAAGGCTATATACTTTACTGAATTAGGCCATATTAACAGATTCTTGCAAGTCTGCTGTATTTTACCTTCCCTCCCTCTTATGCCTTCATTGAGTCAGGGAGGAGCCATCCTGGGCCTTTTCCTAATACTATCTCCTTTCCCAGAGCTTAAGGAATGCTTCTGCCCTTATTTCTGTAATGGCTTCTGAATTTTCCCTTCAAGACCATCTCCATGGTTCTCTACAATTACTTTGTCCTGGTTTTGACTCCTGATGTCAAGCCTGTGTCCATTAATTATTTTGCCCAAAGTTTGTCCTATTTGTCCTGTGCAGAATTCAACAGGGACATTGATGATGGTGTATATCCCAGGTTTGCTAAACTTTAGCACTTGTAATCAAATAATTTGAAGATTAAACTACATAATCCTTCTTTTAAGTAGTTGCCATTTTCACAAAGTACACTACTGAAGGGATAAACTGGACTAGAACCTTACTAATTTTCTTTTATGAAGAATTATGAAGATAGGTAATGGAAAATGGTGCTCATGCAGAAAGGTCTCTGACTAAGAGGAGGGCCACTACCATTCTGAATAGGCATTTCAAATAGACTATTTATATTGACATAATGGAGCATTACCTGCTCAAAATATCGTGCTATGATCACTATGATCATCATAATAAAAATAATCATTTCTAACAAAATTAGAGAAATTCTCAGACCTGAAGGAATCTTTGTTGCCGAATTTGCTGTTGCCTCTGTCTCATCTGTTCCTGAGACATCTGTACTGAGTAAAGGTTTGCCTGGGAAGGTGTGGCTGATATCACATCCAGAGGCCCTCCAACCAAGTGATTCTGTTGCAAAGGCTGGTGTATTGAACTGAGAGGCAGAAAAAATTTAAAAATATGTAGTTGCAGGCATGAAAAAGTAAAATAAGTATAATAAATTTTATTTCAAAAACAATCCATTTTACTTTTGCCTGTAGGGTGGCTGAAGGTAGCCATCTAAGCATACTACTGTTGATTCATTGTAAAATATTCTATTATATTATATTATATTATATTATATTATATTATATTATATTATATTATATTATATTATAT